TCGTTGTTGAGTGAATGCCTGTGTGGGCACCACGTCCTAGAGATAAAGGGGCATGTAGAGCTGGCCTCAACCCTGCCATCGTGAAGCACCTACTGAAGTGGTCCATAGGGAACATGTTTTAAAATAACAGCTTCATTGAGCTAGAACCCACGTGCCATATTATAAGGCTGCTTAAAGTGTGCAATTCAACCCTCCTGATTCTGTACCCATCCAGTCTACACACAGGACTGAGTGGTTAGAAAAGGAGGAAAAGTAAAACTGAAACTGACTTCAATTCTTGCATGACACGTGAGCTAGTTTCAGGCAAAAAATAAAATGTAACAATAATAATATATAAGTGATTAAGGATCCATGAAGGTAGGAGGGCTGAGGAGGGCGGGCAAAAAGAGGAGCTGATTCATGGGCCCAAATAGAAAGAAAATGTTTGGGAAAAGTTAATGGCAACATATGTATAAGTGTGCTTAATATAATTGAATGATGGATTGTTATAGGATTTGTAAGAGCCTCCCCCCAAATAAAATGATTAATTAAAAAATAATTAAAACAATAAAATGTTAAAAAAAGTATTCAAGCAGATGATCTTTAAAGCTCCTTTCCATTCTTAAATACTAGCTATTTCTACTCTATGATGAATCAACTCAATCAACTGAAACAGCCACCACTATGTAATACACATGTGTCTATGAAAGAATGTTTTCATTTAATATGGGTTTGTTTTGTTGTTGTTGTTGTTGTTGTTGTTGTTGTTAGGTGCCTTCCAGTCAGTCCCTACTCATAGTAAGCCTATGTAGTACAGAAAAGACTGCAAGTCCTGCATCATCCTCACAACCACTGTGTTGTTTGAGCCTACTGCTGCATCCACTGTGTCAATCCATCTTATTGAGGGGCTTTCTCTGTTCCTCGGACCCTATTCTTTACCACCCATGATACCATTTTCCAATGAATAGTCATGTACTTTGGCTATGTTATTAAAAAAGAGAATAGTCCTTGGATCTCTTCCTGTCAGTTGGCCAAGTATTTGTCTTCCAAATATCTTAACAGTGACTAACTTGTGAGTGCTTCCAGTACTGCACAGACTAATTGAAACATCTTGAACTTCTTTCAATACCATCAGTTCTTGATCATATGCTATCTCTTGAAAGGGTTGATTATTGATCAGTTCTATTCAGGACAGTGACTCTGTGTATTTCTTCATTGTCATTAGGTACTTCTTGCATCTTTCAGCATTTTGCCCGTAGAATCCTTGAATACTGAACCTAAGGATTTAATGGAGCCATGGTGGTGTACTGGTTATGTGTTGAGTTGTGATCTTCAGGGTCAGCAGTTCAAAACCAGCAGCAGCTCTGAGAGAGGAAGACTGGGCTTTCTACTCCTGTAAACAGTTGCAGTCTCAGAAACACACGAGTCACCTTGAGTCAGCACTGACTCAATGGCAGTGAGTTTGGTTTTCTTTGTTTTTTTCATTCTTTTAGCTTGAGATATGCTGAATATGCTCGTTTGTTTGTTTTCCCTTTTTGGCTAATTCAAGTCTATGCATATTTCATAATAATATTTTGTCTTCTCAAGCTGTCCTTCGAAATTTATTCAGTTCTCTTATTTCATCATTTTTTCCAATTGTTTTAGCTACTCTATGTTCACCAGCACGCTTCAGAGTCTCTTCTGACATCTACTTTGGCCTTTTCATCCTTTCTTTTCTTTTTAATGGTCTTTTGATTTCTTCTTCTATGATGTGCTTTATGCCATCCCACAGCTCACCAGATATTCTATTGTTAGCAGTCAGTACATCAAATATGTTCTGGAGGTGTTTTCTAAATTCAGGGGATATAAACTCAAGGTCATGTTTTGACTCTCATGGACTTGTTTTCATTTTCTTCAACTTCAGCCTGAACTTATAAATGAACAATTGATGATCTATTCCACAATTGGCCCTTGGGCTTATTTCAAAGGCTGATAGTAAGTTACTCCATTGTCTCTCCCTGCTCAAATCAACCAAACTCACTACCAAAGAGTCAATTCCGACTCATAGCAACCATATCAGCCCTTGTGGGTTTCAGAGACTATAAATCTTTACAGGAGTAGAAAACCTCTTTTTTCTTCTGCAGAATAGCTGGTGGTTTCCAACTGCTGAACTTATGGTTAGCAGTCCAACTCATAGCCACTACACCACCAGGGCTCCTCTTCCCCCAAATGTCATCAACTTCACCCCTGTGTATTCCATCTGGTGATGTCCGTATGTATAGTTGCCATTCATGTTGTTGAGAAAAAGGTCTTTGCAATGAAGTCATTCACCTTGCAAAATTTTATATGAAATCTGTTATGAAATATATAATACATTTGATATAGTCGATATATACTAGTGTGTTCAGATCTCATTTTAATGGCAGATAGACCAACACAAGCCTTATCTTCATTGAGTTCAAAGTTCAGAGAGAAAGACCAACAAAAATTCAAATAAATAATAACTGTGAGCAATGTTGTGAAAGATAACAACAGACTGTGAAAATGAATAATAATCAAAAATGTCTGGAGGTGTTCTCTAAACTCAGGGGGCATAAACTTTGACTCCTGTGGACTTGTTTCTATTTCCCTCAGCTTCAACCTGAACTTATATACAAACAATTGATGGTCTGTTCCAAAATCAGCTCCTGGCCTTGTTTTGGCTGCTGATAGTGAGTGAATTTACAGGCAAAGGAGAGTATGTTCTAAAAAGTTCACTTTTTAAAAAAATGACAAATTTGCTGGGTAAGGAGTAGTTAGTGAGGTGAAGAAAGATAAAAACCACATTATAGACCTGCAAGAGGGTCTCAAAAAGTTCATGGTAAATGTAATTGAATGTAATGTAAGTTTTCCAATAAAGTATTTAAAGCTTAGCTCATACATTTTAAAAAACTAAAGAAAGTGGTCATTCAAGAAGTAAAATAAGGTCATGTGGCTAGAGCATTGTAAATGAAAGGAGCCACCCTGGAATAGTCAGAGAGAAGGACTCCCGCCCGATCATGTAAAGTGTCACCATCGTGGGGACCCTTTTGTATGATATCAGAGAGATAGGGAAGACCTCCTGAAAGATTTTTGAGAAAAGGAGCTGACTCAGTTATGTTATTGAGAGATTATTCTAGCCACTGGACCACCATTGAGTTGAAGGAAAGCAACAACAGAAGAAAATAGTATAATTGAAGAATTAGTCTAGGCAAGGAATGGCACTGGCTTGGATAGAGAAGCAATGGTGGAGTCGAGTGTGTCTTGTGTACAACCTTGGATTATCCTCATAATGGGTCTGTAATCAGCTGTGGGGATACCTATGGCCACATATCACAAATACACAGAGAAACTAATTCCTGAATTCCTATAATTCAGCTTACTTTCTCAGGGTCTCGTGGTCTCCGTAGGAGGACTTCTGGGTGGCATTACACATGATCCACAGAAGTGCTCACACATCCTTTGCTTTAACAAAGGATTTTGGTTTCCCCCACATGGCATTTTTCACCAGCAGACTGACAGAATCATTGGTTACCCCTATCTTCCATCGCTGCCTCTCCCAAGCATGAGTATGGCCACACTATGTGCCCCACAGACTCCAGAGGACAGAAGTCAAGTTTGCAAACCACAGACAGTCCCTAAGTTACAAATTATGAATCACAGACCACTCCTACATACCCTTTAATGTTATGTAAACTTGATAGAACAATTGTACCACCCCCTACTCACAGTAAATTCATCACGATCACTTGCTGCATAAGCAGAAATCATTGAAAACACTTTGAGCCTTTTCTTGCATTCAAATAAGGGTAAGGAGGAAGCCTACATGCCCCTTCTGACTCACCAACTTGAAGACTGAAAGACACAGGTAGGAACAGATCTTATTCATAACTTAGCGACTATCTGTAGTCTCATTCTTCCTGAAGTCCTGCTCAGTAGGATTGAGCAGAGAAGGAAGCAACTCCATCCTCCATACTGTGGTCCAGTGGTGAAAGTGATACGGAAAGTTCCCCAACAACCGAAATAGAGATCCTTTCCTCTCTCTCCACCTTTCTAGTTCTGTATTCTACTTGCTGTGCCCGTTCAGTTCACAGCTCTGGAAGTTGTTTTGACACCACATTTTGGAGTCCTACTTGAGGCCCTACCATGTCACTTTGGCACATCAGAGCAGGCAGCATACTCTTGTCCTCGCCAATTGAATAAAGAACAACTTCCATGTGAACATCTTTGTCTAGCCCCCATCAAACTGCTTTCTAGAATTAGAGATACCCAATACCACAGCCATCTTCCTAAAGTTCACAAACATCACTCTCTTCTATGTTCTCCCCAGTGTCTCTCCATCATCTCTGACTTAGACCTTGGTGCACCAGTGCCATTTCCAGGGTGGCTCCCTGCCTCTCTTCTGACTTCTCTCATCTCACCTCATTATAGGACTCAGTCCTCGGAAGTTAACAGACCCCTCTGTGTTGCAGGGTTTCATTGTCACTGACCTACCTGCTCCTCCTCTCTGCTCAGCAGGGGCTGGTGTCTGGCTGAGCTCTTCCTTCCACTTAGAACCCCATCAACTTTGCTCTCCTGCAGACCCTGCTATCCCCACTTATCAGTCTCTTTCCTGAGAGTTTGTCCGGCAGCTCAGATTCTGATGGAAAGATAGGTAAATGTGTGGGGAATACTAGGACTTACACTACGTACAGAAGATCCCAAATTAGTGACCTACAGGAGAGGCAAAGAAAGTAGAATTTTCTAGCACAGCTTGACAGAAAGAAGAAAGTGGGGGACGTTGAAGTTCTGGAGTAATGAATAGAAAGGAATGGGGAGAAATCAGAGCTGATGGCTTTGGTAGAAAACATGGGAGGAATTGGAAGAATTGCCCATAGAGTTTATCTATTTTTTAACTTCATGGAAACCACACACACAGGAAAGACATTACTTGGCTATGGGAACATCCTACGTTTCATGATTTAAGACTAGCTACCGGGAAAAGGCAGCCTGAATCTTGACCAAAGTTTCTGTGTGTCTGACAGGACCCAATGCTAAGCACGGACTGCGTTGCAAGGCTTGTAAGATGAGCATCCACCACAAGTGCACGGATGGCTTAGCCCCCCAGCGGTGCATGGGAAAGCTGGTAAGGGCTGACTCCTGGCATGAATGCTCTGTCCAGGGAACTTGCTCCCTCTGATCAGATCACATTCTCGACACTCCTCTCCGGCAGCACCCTGAGAACTGAATGTCAGGAAGGCAGACTCAGAATTTCTAACCCGACAACTTGGCTTCCTAGTTAAGTGACCGAGCAGAGGGAGAGTTTTGTCAGCATGATACACAAGCACCTCACCTGGGAAAAGATTCAGGGCCTTGCTCATTGTTAGCCCTTAAAGTTCCCAGTATCCTGGGACTGTCTAAGTTTCAAAACCGGAAGGCTTGCATCTTGGGAGTCTCCTCAGTCCCAAGCAAATTGACAACCAGTCATCCTAGTCCTTATTGCCTGTTAGCTAAATAGTTGTCAAGAGTGCAATAGACTGAGCACCGAAAATGGAGAGAGCAATAAAAACTCACACCACTTGAACAGGAGCATGATGGCCCAACCAATGGATGGTGCCTGGCCAGGGTCCGTTCTAGACCAACAATGTTTCTCAAGAGTATGGAAGTCAGAACTTTAGTAAAACACACTGATAAAAAGCAATCCAAAGCACTTTTGAGGGTATTTGAACCTAAGCTGGCCAAAGAATTATAGAACAGACAGAAATGTTTACCTTGGGTAGTATTAGGACATAATAGTTCTCTTCAAAAAATCAAAACTGGTCACAGAGAAAGGAAATTCTATTATCCTTGGTGGCTCCGGTAAGAAGACCTAAATCTATAGATATAACAAATCAGATAATGTTCCCAAAGATCTGCCTACAGGGTTAGTGAGTACCCAGTCACAGAGAGTGTTCAAAGAAGGTCACCATTTTACAAGAATGTTGGAGAAGATTCTGGAATTCTAGTAGAGTCTGGACTACAGACCACTAAGACCCTTTCTAACACTGGGACATAGTAAGTACAAATTTAGAGTCTGTCTCTTTACCCTCGCTAGCAATTTCCTTATATCTCAACCCCTACTTCACCTGCTTCCCGCCTTTGGGTGTGGTTTCCCACGTCTAGGCCCCTAATGATTTTAATAAGCCACTGTAATTAAATGTAGTGAGGTAATGTTAGGGGATCCATTTAGATCCAGGAAGATAATGAGGAAAACAGACAGAAACGAGGCTTCAGTGGGCTGCATAGGAGGAGAAGCAGGTCAGGGAGCTTGCTTTCTGGATGAAGTTTACCTTGATTGTTGCCACCTATATCTCGCACAGGGCTGAGTTGTAGAACAAGGCAGCATCTTAAAGGGAGACAGAGAGGCACATCCCGGAAACAAAGTAAAACGGTTTTACTTTAGAGATCTTATGTTGTGTCCTTCATCTGATTAGTAACACTAAGCCTGTCTCGTTCTCTCTCCAGCCAAAGGGGTTTCGACGTTACTACAGCTCTCCCTTGCTCATTCATGAACAGTTTGGATGCATTAAAGAAGTTATGCCCATTGGTGAGTAGGGCCATGGATGAGTTAAGTTGGGGTCTTCGCAGCAACATCAGCATAAATAGCTGCTATCCTGTCTGTCTTGCAAAATCAGTGGTGTGTTGGTGTGCTTATTTGGCAAAGCTAAATTTTCTACGTGTGCCCTGGTGGCACAGTGGTTATGCATTAGACTGCTAACCACAGGTCTGCAGTTTGAAACCACCAGCCGCTCTCTGGGAGAAAGACGAGGTTTTCTACTCCCATAATGAGACAGTCTGAGAAATTCACAGGGACAGATCTCACGGGTCCTATCAGCTCATTATGAGTCCGTATCAACTGGACGCAGTGAGTGACTGTTACCTGGGCAATTCTTTAGATCTTAGGCCTTGGTATGTTTGTTTGACAAATCTTTAGATTTTGATTATTTGTTTGTATTGCTGGAGGGTAAACATACCATAGACCAAATTCTCCAGAAATGTTCATTATTTCTCCAATGAAGATCTATAAATGCTCAAGCAAAGCTTCTCATATCTCATATCATCCAGCAGTAGCTAGTAGACTTCAAAGATCATGCATGGGGTGTGTCAGCCCCAGCGCTGGTATGGAGCCCAGCCCTATCACTGGTCAGCTATTTGTCATTGAACAAGTTACTCAGCATATCAGACCCTATAAAATCAGAACACAATAGCCATATATCATAAATTTAATAAAATTAAATATATATCACAGACTAATGGAAACCAATTGCTTGTTAATGAGGGCAAAGCATGCTTCGTGTTTATCAATATTTTTGACTTAGATTTCTTTTATTTTTTTCTAAAATTTCTACCTTGTTCCCTCGGAAATTTTGACATCTATTTTTGCCCCTTTGGGGGTAAGTTTTAAACCGGCAAGTTTTATACTAAGGTTTTAAGGAGCAGTTAAAGAGACTTGATGGTGTCCTAGTCTTTCAGAGACACATACCTCCTGGTGCAAACCGCGTCTTGAATTCTTTCACCTTGATGAGCAGAAACTTCCTCAGAGGAAATAAATAAATCTGGTTTCCGGAAAGAACCTTAATATCGAAACTCTAGGGACGGATAGTCACAAAAGAGAACCAGTCAGGAGATGGTTGGGAGCAGAGAAATCTGGGGAGTAAGGGGTACAGTAAAGGGTCTTGACAAAGGGGGGAGCGTGGTGGAGGAATTGCTGTAAGTGAGCAAGGCGTCACGCCAGAGTCCCCATTTTCCCAGGGCTGGTTGGCTTCCACACAGAAACGATTCCTCAAGTGCTGTTGACCCAGGAGACGCAGTCCTTGGTTGGCTGGGTTCCCAAGAGGGAGAAACCTGTCTCCCATGACCGTTCTCCTCTGTTGCAGCCTGTGGCAACAAGGTGGACCCTGTCTACGAGACGCTCCGCTTCGGGACCTCTCTGGCCCAGAGGACGAAGAAAGGCAGCTCCGGCAGTGGCTCCGACTCACCTCCAAGAACCTCTGTAATTGTCCTTCCCTCCCTCCGTTCGGCCTGCGGTGACCTTGGGCAGGGAAAGTGTCTTAGTTAGGCAGTGCTGCTGTCACAGGAATACCATAAGTTGGTGACTCGTGGTGTTCATTTTCTCACAGTTCGAGGGGCTCCCTGTCTGAATTCGGGGCAATTGGTGTAATTTAGGAGAAGCTTCTGATCTCTGCTTCTTTTGCACCACTTTTATTTGTTGTCACCACCATGAGGCAGAATCAACAAGCACATGTTGTCTCAGTTACACAATGCTGTTAATGCAGAAAGAAACCCACGTTCTGGGTCCAGGCCTTCAGAGGAAGGCCCTGCTTTGTCGGTTCCAGGGGACGGTCCTGGCTTTCTCAGCTGGTGTTCCTCAGTACTTTGGTGACCTTCATGCGACCTGGCAAGATGTGATCAGTGAACATGGCCCTGCTGCCCATCATTCCAGACTCTATGTCTGTGCCTATAATCCCATTTTTGATGGAGTTCTCTGTCACAGGATTAAGATGAGCTATATCCTTAGTAGATGTAAACTTACTAGAAGCTATGGCTTAAGTCACTATCCCTTGTTTCCTTGGGGGCATGTTCTGCCGAAAGGCAAAAAAACCCACATCTCCATCAAAGAAAGCCATTTCACTGTGTATAAGAGCAATCTCAGCAGCAGGAACAGAGAGAGATTCTAGGGCCATCACAAGTGGAGCACATTCATGATCTGTGTCTGCAAGGGTGGAGGACACTAAGACCAGAAGCAGCAGAGCGAGGCTGAGACCCAGAGAGCGTGGGACAGAACAAAGGATCCAGACCACGAGCAGAAGCTGAGGCAAGGGGAGACCATGAGACAGAAGAGAGGAACTGTGTGGAGACTCTGAGACTGTAAGACAGAGCAGCAGGCAGACTTTCTGGCCCACAGAGGCAGAAATCAAGGGACCATATGGCTAAGAGGCTTGGCTGCGGGCTGAGAAGAGGTGCTGCTGTGGACCAATGACTGTCTCCTTCCTGTTACTGAACCTGACTTATGGTAACCTGTCAACGCCCTAATAAACCCCTTAGTCTTGAGTGTTGTCTGTGAGTTCTGTATGATCATTGCAGTGAGTTATCAAAGCCGACATAGATATAGAATGCCACCGGGAAAAGGATTGGTGCCAGACCAGGTAATGACATGTGGAGGAGGGAGGCATGCCTGACTGTCTCGTGGCTATAAGGAAGACAGAGGAAATCAGACCTGGCCCTCCGGCCATTTTCTCACCTGGCACCTCTATTCGTCATTTGTACTTGCTTGCTTCTGTGCTATTTTTATATCTCAAAAGTGATTTAAGATATTCTATATCGATATAATCTACTGAACATATCAAAGAACACGCTAATCCCCAATAGGATTACATCCACTGCTTTCAGAGTTATGATTTACAACAAATGTTTTGGGTCAACATAATTCAATCTATAACATGTCTTATTTTATTAAGAATAAATGTATAACATATTCATGTTAAAGATACTATAATAACGATGCTATATAAGTGTTGAAAGATTTTGTAGTAAAATGGAAAATGTGAACTTTCAGTAGGCATTTGCCTTCAAAGAGTGCAGGTTTAATATGTTACATTTTTAATATACTAGAATGCTGATGTTCTCCCTAGGGAAGCTATAAATCAAATTGACAGTCCAAATGGTAATGTTAACTGATTTTCTAAAGGAAGAATAGAAATGGGGCTAAATGTGGTGAATAAATACAAAGTGCATGAGTAAAATTGGTATTTATATTAATATGATATGGCTTTGTGGATTGGATAATAATAATGATATATATGTAAAGTTTCTAGCACAGGGCCTGGCATACTTGGCATCCAATAAATGGACGTTCTTGCTGCTCTATTTTCCTTAAGCTGGCTTTTCTTTGCACTTGCGTTCCTGTGGTGTTAGAGGAGGTCATAAGCTATTAACAAGGCATGTGTGTTATCTCAAGAGCTTTTTCTGAAGCCCTGAAAGAGCCCGTTCTCTAGCTCTGACAGTCACCCTGACTTAACCAAGGAGTCTCCTCTGTTCTTGTCGTTTGTTTGTTTTGTTTTCATTAAAAGATCATTTTATTGGGGACTCTTGTTACAGTCCATACATTGATTGTATCAGGCATGCTTGTACATATGTTGCCTTCAATCATTTCTAGACATTTACTTTCTATTGAGTCTTTGGTATCAGCTCCTCATCCCCGCCCCCACCTACCCTCATACCCCCTTGGTAAATTATAAAGTATTATTTTCATATCGTACACCAACCGCTGTCTCCCCCCCACCCCCCAGTGTTTCCTGTTGAGGGGTGTATGGTTATGTGTTGATCGTTGCAATAGGTTCCCCCTTTCTCCCTTCCTCCCCCGCCCCCACCCCTGCCACCTTTATCCCTACCCTTCTGGTATCACTATTCCTACTCCTGTTCCTGGATTCCATGTGTCGTGAGCCCCCATCTCTTTTCTATACCTGTGTACATGTTCAAGTTTAGTCTGAATTGAGAAGCAGCACTGGAGTCATGATGGGGTAGGGGCGGGGAGGTGAGGAAGCCTCAAGGAACCAGAGGAATATTGTATGTTTCATTGATGCTTTACCTGCACCCTGGTTGACTCATCCCGTCCCTGCAGCCCCTCTGTGGGGGGATTGTTCCATTGTCTACAGATGGGCTTTGGGTCTCTGCTCCACTCTCCCTCGTCCTCAACCATATGATTTTTGTTTGTTTGTTGTTACGTGTCTTCTGATGCCTATTACCCAGTCCCGATGACTCCTCATGACCACACGGACGGTATGCTTCTTCCATGTGGGCTTGTTGCGTGTTGTTGCTGGATGGCTGCTTGTTTAAATTCAAGCCCTTAAGACACCAGATGCTATATCTTTCAATAGCTGGGCACCATTCGCATTCTTCACCACATTTGCTTATGCACCCGTTTTGTCTTCAGCAATGGTGTCAGGAGGGGGAGCATCTCAGAATGACGATTTGTTAGAACAAAGTGTTCTTGTATTGAGGGAGGTTATGGACAGAGGGCTGAAGTCCATCCACTATCACAGTGTGTTGCCATATAAATATATGTACAGAAGCCAATGCCTCTATCTTTGTGGATAAATATATTTACATATGTGCACACCTATGCTTATACCTCTATCCATTGCTTTGCTTCCTAGGTCCTTCCTCTGTTTCCTTTTACCTTCCTCCTGCCCCCGCCCCCCTCACTATCCCCCTGTTTATGCCTCTTAGAACTTTCTCTTAGCTAGTTTGTTGTTGCTCCGACCCTCAGGATCTCTGTTCTTTTTTCGATTGGCCTGTTTCTTACTTATTCTTCATCCACTCCTTAAACTGGGTGTTGCCAGGGGTCTGCCTTTGCTTGATTTTCTTTCTCAACAGGCTTTTCCTGGTTGGTCTTGCTTGGTGATCACACCCCCAGTTCAATGGCCAACTGTAAGCAGAGGACCCCCTTAGCTATCTCCAGTCCTAACCAGAGCTTCCAATGGTTCGTTTTGGCATGACCCCTGGCTGAGCCTTTGCATTTCCACCCCAGAGATACTGAATCAGAATCGACATTTTGAAAAGGTCCTCAAGTATATGTAAGACTCACCTAGGAGTCTGTAAGAATAACTGGGGGATCTCGTTGAACTGTAGACTCTTGCTCAGTATCTCTGAGATGGATATACAAGTTCTCCGCAGGGGGTCAAACCAGAAGGAACTGATTGAAAGCCCTGGTCTCCACCTCTCACTCAAGCTCCTGACCATTGTACAAACTCCACATGTCTACCTAAACTTAATGATTAGATCCTGTGATTCAGAACTTAGAAATGTATGTCAAATGCACTCCTCCTCTCTGTCAGCAGTACTGGAAGTGCTTATTATTATATTACCCCAGTGGTTCCCATACAGATTTTAATAAAGGAATCATTTTGCTGCCCTCTTCCTTTTTTATATGACCCTTAGGAATATCTCTAGATATATTCTCCTTGAAAGAAAGACCTTAGGTAACTTTTACAATTAAAATATTTTGTTGACTCACATATGCCTATTGAACAACGCCCAAACTCTAGTCTGGCATAAGAGGCCTGTCCAACCTGACAAGTTACCATAAGGATCATTTACTCCCATTTATCATAAACATCAATTTTCCCACAAAGTCACCAAGCTTTTGACGTCTTCACATCTTTGAACTTGTGTTTCTTCCACTTGGAATGCTTTAAGCCCAACTTGGTTTGTAATAGACCACAAGAATGCCCTAACTCTTGAGGTGTTCCCCTGCAAGCCTTAAAGTATTCCTCTTTTGCAGCATGTCTGAAGGGGCTCCAAAACCTATGTAGGAAAACTTCATCATCTTTGGAGTCCATTGTTTTCATGAGTTTTTTAAGCTTCCTTGTACATTTTGCTCTGTTGTACACAGGGCTAGTGGGAGTTGGAACCAACCCAACGGCGCCCAACACAAGAAACAGCCACATCGACCCCACACCTGTCTGTTAGCCAGATTGTGATCGCTGGCATGATCCTGGAAGCTGTGCCACCAGTCTTTCAATACTTACAGGTTTTCCCATGGCTGCATAGAGCTAAGACAGACTGGGGAGAAAGTCCTAGGAGTCTGCTTCCAAAAACTAGCCAATGAGAATGCTATGGATCAGAACAGAATGTTTTCCAGCCTATTTGTTTTGAACACATCATCAGGGGGGAGCACTCACTGGAGGAGCCCATCGTTTTGGGTGAAGCAGAGAGCCAACAAGGACAAGAGAGGCCCTTGTTGAGATGGATTGGGACAAAACTCCAGCAATGAACGTCAACTCTCCAGAGGCTGCGAGGATGACACAAGGCTGGGAAGCATTTTATCATGTTGCATATAAGGTTGTCATGATTGCACCCTAATGATCTTGTGAATCTATTTCCTGACCTAGAGATTGTGCAACTATAGATCAGGACCTTATACTATTATCACCAGGTCCCAGCATAGTGCCTGCCACATAACAGACAGCTGAGAAATGCTTGAAGAAGGAA